AAATGGGGATCTCATTCTTTTCCTGTGCTTAGTCTCAACTTCTGCCTTGTCTCTATCATCCTCACTTTCTCTCTTTTCACTATTGCCAGAACCATGTGTTGCTCTGCCAGTGATCTCCTGAATTTTCTTTTGTAAATAAATCCCACCTATTCCATAGCTGCGTGGCCCACAGTTCTTGTTGCTGGTTTCACTGGCGAGCGATGAGGAGGATCCAGAGAGATTCATTGGACCACAGTTGTCAGACCTCTGGATGTTAGCAACTACAAAGAAACACACACCATACAAATCTTTGTTAATGACAAAATATCTGACAAAATTAACATTTTGATTTTAAGTTAATAAAGTCTTTTTCCTTATAAGACTCTTTCATGTATAGCTCAGAAAACAAAAGAGAATAAAACCTGCAATAGGAGAATTAACTGAAGTTCAGGAATGAGATGGGATAGTTCATGAAATATATATTTAATTTTAATTCAGTAATCAATGTTAACACAAGATAGAGAGTAATTTGACCAAAACAAGCTGGTGCTAACCTCTCCCTCCCTCCAAAACAAACAACCCCCTCCACATTAAAAGTAAGTCAAACAAATGAAATCATCCCAAAGAAACAAAACATGGTTCTCATGAAAGTTAATGAAAATCACATGTTTACAGAAACATACAAACAAAAGTAACTATTGAAAATCTCATCAGAAGAAGAATGGACAGCAGAATCCAATGATAAGGCTACACAGACAATAATTTTATGCATATACTAAGATTATAAAAAAAGACCAATCACACCCCCTGAAAACTGAAATAGTTTTTTGTGGTGCCAGAAGCAAATTCTCATGAGATCTTGCTAAGGGTAAAACTATTAGTAATTTGCCACACATGCTTCCCAATCCAATCTCTCATTCCCGGGGTTGTCAATAATCCACAGACTACTGTTCAGAGTGCAGGAAGGTGGGACAAAGGCCTTACATTTTTCAGCAGTGACCACTCTGCCTGACTAATAAATGTGAAGTTAAGAGACTTCAAGGGGAACCCCATTCAAATGTGACCAGAGATGACTGTGATGTAGTCTTTCCAGGCTAACGGTTTAAAAATAAGCGGATTCAAAGAACATCATGATAGCAAGAAAAGCTCAGCATACAAACACAAAAATGCAAATGAGGGAATTCAGGATTCAGAAGGATGCATTGCCAATACACCTTTGTAAGTAACAAAGCTGTCATCAAGATCCTGAATTCCACATGGCATTACACTTCCTTCTCCTGTCACAGCATGTCTATACGATTGTTCAACAAAAATCCAGGGTTTGGCTAGAATTATGTTTGATGCATGGAGGGGGAAAATAGTATTTAATGTTTCGTATAAGGCCAGTTAGTAAAACAAAGACATACAGTATGATTAGGAAAAAGATTAAAGAGAGCTAGAGAATCCTAGGTATAAGATCAATTAAACAGTGTAGTGCTCCAGACATAATACATTAATTCATCAAAAGTGGTGGTCAGAGATACTTTTGAAAACATGATCCTAAATTGTATAGGCACCTAAATCCCATTTGTGAAAGTAATTCTGGTACTCAGGAGCCTGTATCCCATTGATTTTCCTAAGTGCTTTAGTCACTTTTGAAAACTTTAAAAAGGTCTAAATTTCAGACATATCTCAAAAATATATACATACGGTAATGGCAGAAGTGTGCCTTGTGCATCAATTTTTACAGAATTATATTTATTCACTCTTACTATAAAACACTCTATGTCTAATGTTACTCTTGACATACATTTCCTATACTCACAGAATCACTTATATAAATTATAAATCCATAACCACTTTTCCAAAATAACAAAATACTGATTTTCTGAGATGGAAATGTCAGTATAGTATGTAAGATATACTCCTACCTTTGTGTGGAGAGCCCTGAGGAGAAGCAGGAGGACTGGAGTGGAAAGAGGATGTCATAGATATACTATCTTCAGCTTGCTTCTTACTTACTTCCTCAGACAAGCTGAGTGATTTCTGAGGAGAACCTGTACCTATTAAGATGATAGAAACTTAATTTATACAGTTCTAGTTTCAAGATAACATGTTTGATACCTGTTTTAATTACAACTAAGGGTGAAGCTCCATCCTGGCTAGTATAAAAACATTACCAGAAAAAGGTGTTGGATTGTTTAATGAGATTTATAATGTAACCTAACAAATGTTATCAAGTAGCTAATTTGCAAAATGTATTGGCTACGTCTACATTGGCACCCTTTTCCGGAAATGCTTAAAACGGAACAGTTTTCCGTTATAAGTATTTCCGGAAAAAGCGCGTCTACATTGGCAGGATGCTTTTCCGGAAAAGCACTTTTTCCGGAAAAGCATCCGTGACCAATGTAGACGCGCTTTACCGGAAAAAAGCCCCGATCGTCATTTTTGCAATCGGGGCTTTTTTGCGGAAAAGACTACTGTACTGTCTACACTGACCCTTTTCCAGAACAGTTTTTCCGGAAAAGGACTTTTGCCCGAACGGGAGCAGCATAGTTTTTCCGGAAAAACACTGACAATTTTACAGTAGATCATCATTACTTTTCCGGAAAAGCAAACGGCCAGTGTAGACAGCTGGCAAGTTATTCCGGAAACGCGGCTGCTTTTCCAGAATAAGTGGCCCAGTGTAGACACAGCCACCATGAATAAAAATGTACCATGCTGGAATTTTCATTTTAAAAACTATAGGGTACAGTCCTCATGCTCAGGGCTGTTGAATATATGGGTGGCAAAGGTAGTTTTAAGCCACATTCAGCCTTGGGGACAGACATATTGCACGCTTGCCTCTTCCTGGAGTACTATACCTTACCTTACCTTACCTGGCCACCAGGGTGCCAGAAACAGCTGCTGAAAAGGAAGCTGGGCTAGCTTTGAGCAAGCTCAGTAGTCCTTTCTCAGGGGAAGTCTCTTCAGCCTCCATTTTAGGGTTGGTGTAAGGTTGCTTTGTGCCACTTAGATGGTGCAAAGTAGCCTTTCCAAAGGCTGAGGAAAGCTATAGTGTTTCCCTAATTGACTGTGGATTTTGGATGTGTGTCAAGAGTAAAGTTCACTAGGAGGGTGGTGAAGCACTGGAAAGGATTACCGAGGGAGGTGGTGGAATCTCCATCCCGGGAGGTTTTTAAGTCCCAGTTTGACAAGGTTCTAGCTGGGATGATTTAGTTGGGATTGGTCCTACTTTTAGCCAGGGCTGGACTCAATGGCCTCCTCAGGTCTCTTCCAACCCTATGATTCTATTACAAATTTAATTCAGGGCAGAAATGGCCCAAAGATTCTACTATCTGATGACTGCTCAGCTGTCCATCTCAAATTAGTTTGGTGGCTTTGGCTTTCAGGTGATAATTGAAAGCATCCCAATTGACACAATGTTACAGAGAGTCTTGGCAGAAAAATTAAGGACTGAATAAGCTATGTAGTCTGAAGTCTCCTCCAGTACAGGCCTCCTCCCTTATGACAGCACGGAGGAGTGCATATGGTCACTGCCCACACTATACCACTTCAATGGATAAAGAATTTGTATCCAGAGCTGTCAATCCAGCACATGTTCTGAGCTCTACATTCATACCAATCAATCAACCAATCAGAGAACTTTGTTGAAGGAAAACATAGGAACTGACTTTTTCCATTCTCCATTAGTGAGTCCTGTGTAATACATTATGGTTAAACGGTCTGTTAAGTTCCTCATATATTGTAAATGAAACACTGAATTTTTCCAACATCCAGAAAAGAAATAAGACATCCTTGCAGTCACACCACAAATTAAGCTTTAGGAATATCTCAAAGAAGCAAAGAAGCTTGAGTAGATTAATATCGAATCATATGCCTTTTTTTTAAAACAAAGAACAGTTTGAGGCCAGATTTTTAAAGGAGGCCTGAGGTCTGCACAAGAAAATATGCACTGCAATTGCACATCAACGTGCTTGAGAGATTACCATTATTCCATATAAAAATCAGGTTATTTTGTATGAAAATAGACATTTAAGTGCTAAACCCATCATCTGTATGCACAAAAGAGGTGATTATATGCCAACCATTAAAATATTAGTCCCATATTTATTTGAAAATTAAAATTCAATATTTGTACAAGTGACTTGATGTTTTATTTGCTGTACAATTTTTATTGCTCATCATATAAGAGAAAGAGGCTGTTCTTTATTATCAAAATAATCCAATAAAAGAGTGGATAAATTAAAAGTTGTTTTCAGTGAAAGACTGTACTGTCTTTTGTACCATATAGGCCTGAGGAAGGACAAATTTTTGGCCTTCACACCCTGAAGAGTTCAGAAGAAATTTGGCTGTGCCTGGAAATCATTTTTACTAAATTCCATGAGTGTATTGAGTCAAGTCATTTATTACCAAAACAACTTCCTCCTCAGAAATATTATTTTTCCTGAAGTTTAAGGAGTATTACAGACTAAGTAGTATATTCTATCTTACCAATGTATTTTGCAATCATATTGTGTAGTAAGAATCTAAACAGGCAGAGGTAATGCTGGTTAAAGAAGGATCTGACTAATGAGGGTTTGATAGAGCCCAAACTCCAGTAGTTCAACAGGTGTTCTAAGCTCTTTTCATAAAGGAGGTAAGAGTAATTGCAAACAGGCCCAGTTAGGCAAGCTCTAGTGCCAGGTTGAGTGTGTTCAGCTGGAGGTCTTCAAATGATATGGTGGATGAATAAAATGTAACAGCTATTTAAATCTCCCATCTCCAAGATATTTTGGCCTTGGAAAGGGTTCAGAAAAGGGCAACTAAAATGATTAGGGGTTTGGAACGGGTCCCATATGAGGAGAGGTTAAAGCAACTGGGACTTTTCAGTTTAGAAAAGAGGAGACTGAGGGGGGATATGATAGAGGTCTATAAAATCATGAGTGGTGTGGAGAGGGCCGATAAAGAAAAGTTATTTATTAGTTCCCATAATAGAAGAACTAGAGGACACCAAATGAAATTAATGGGTAGCAGGTTTAAAACTAATAAAAGAAAGTTCTTCTTCACACAGCGTGTTGTCAACCTGTGGAACTCCTTGCCAGAGGAGGCGGTGAAGGCTAGGACTATAATAGAGTTTAAAGAGAAGCTAGATAATTTCATGGAGGTTAGGTCCATAAAAGGCTATTAGCCAGGGGATAAAATGGTGTCCTTGGCCTCTGTCTGTCAGAGGCTGGAGAGGGATAGCAGGAGAAAAATCACTTCATCATTGTCTTCGGTCCACCCTCTCTGGGGCACCTGGTGCTGGCCACTATTGGTAGACAGGATACTGGGCTAGATGGACCTTTGGTCTGACCCAGTACGGCCGTTCTTATGTTCTTATCTAGTTTACTTCCTGTAACTAGGAGAAGAAATAAGAAGATGGAAAATAAGCTTACTATAAAAAATTATATTCCCTGAAAGACATCACTTTAACATACTTCATTTTATTCCTTTAGATTTAGATTTTAAAGAAAGACACAGAAGACAGGTGGCAAAAATGTTTGATATATCATACTGTTAGTTAAGAAGCTGAGAGGCAGTGAGTCAGAATGTGTGATAAAGAGCTAAGTGATTTGTTTTTTCATTCATGTGCAGTGCTAAAATCTGCATGACTGATAGAACCAGAATCATCAAGCGATCACAGAGAAAACAATTTATGAGAAGAATCCATTTCTGTCGGCCAATTTAAAGATAGATTTGTTTTCTAACTTCCTACATCCATGTTTGAATAGCAGAAAGAATAAAGGGCAAAACAACTTTTGTGAAGCTGAATTAGCTTTCTTGATGCTGTCTAAGTTTTAAAATGGGAATTGATGAACATTTCACTGCAGAATTTTTTTACACTGTTCACTAAATTTATTCAATGTTTTATTGAATAATTTGTCATTTAATATTATTTTAGCTTTAAAATATTATATATCATTCAAAGTCATGAAAACAAAAATAATAAAACACAAAAAAAACCCATAAAAAAATTAAAAACCAAGCACTTCATACATGGAAATAGGCCAAAGAGATATTATTTAGCAGCATTTTAATATACAATCCTGAAAGTCTCAGACATTGATAAATTCAGACAACAGAAAACACAAATAAACTAAACTACAAATGATCTGGTAGCACTTTTAGACTAACTAAACACTATAAAGTGCTACCAGACCATTTGTTGTTTTTTAAGTTTATCCTCTACAAACTAACTTGGCTACCCCCTGAAGCTTCTCAACAAATAAAATACTAATTGATGCTCACTAAAAGCTACTAATGCTACTAAAATACATGGTGTTCTGTCTGGCCATAATGCCATTATGATGGTACTCCACAGTTTGAAATATTAAATTTCCTATTATTTACTTCTGTGATTACAGTCACAAAATATAATGTATTCACTATGTTCTGCAAGCAAAAATGAATGTAATTCTACTCAATTTGTAAGTTTCCCATTTAGGAGTATATAATGTTCAGCACAATGGTAAATCACCTGTTAGCTACCCAGTTATGGTGTTAGGCCTGTATTCACTTTAACTAGCCTAGTTTAGAAAACGGATTAGTTCTACTTTTTCCAAACAGCGCTCTCCAAACCACTGGTTGTTTTCTTGCTAACGTATGTTATAAAGAAAACAATGACACTAAAGCAAAAAAGTATCTTTACATACAATGGGCTTTGTATTTAGATACATTAAGAGCAAAAAGGTTTTATTTAGCAACTTAGTTATGGAAATAATTTAAGGTATATTTTGTACTCTCGTGTGGGATAAACGTTATAATTCCTTACACATAATAAAATGGAAATGAGTTTGAGACATGTTGTAAATGAAAAGGGTAAATGAAACTTTCAACTATGGAGCTGAATACAATGTTTCCATAATAAATAGTTCAAATATTTGGTTGGTTTGGAATCCAGCCCCTCTCTCCTTCTCAAACTTACTAACCATACAATATACGATACATTGAATAATGGAAGCACAAACTGCAGATACTTACTGAAGGTGACATGGTCCTTAGCTGGTCCTCTTTTTCTAATAGGGTACAAATTAACAGCTGGAACTTGGAGAACTTGGCTCATTCTGTTTTGTTGATGCAAATGGGCTTTTGTGGTTTGGCCAACAGACCTCATGGGTATTGGTGACATTTCTGAGGATTTTGTACATCTTCTCTCACTTAAATTCTTGGTCACTGTTATAGGAAAAGTGGAACATTAGTAACTTTGCACTGTAATCTGAAAAATGTATTACAGTCATATTGCAGAAAATGACTGACCAGAAGATGATAGCATTTTAAATGCCAGCTTATAACATAGCTCGCCTGTCTTGTTAGACTTCAGAGGCAAATTCATAAAAACAAGTTAAAACATTCCTAAAGCTCTTTACAATAGTTATGTAGGCACACAATGAAGTGAGAAATTATTTGATTTACTCCCATTATAGCTAAGTGCCCCAAATAAAATAACATTGAAAAGCATGAACATTACAACTAAATGTAAAGTGTCCTCTGTAAGCAGTGGGTCCTTTGTCCAGTTAGTTGGAAGAAAAGAGGTAGCTTCTCCTATAGCTGGTTCCCTCTGCAACTGATGACAGAGGAGAAAGAGAAAGTTTACTGAAACAGAGCAGGAGGAACAAGAAGCACATGGATGTGGTGCATGTGAGATGGTGTTGTCCTTCTAGGTGACCAGGTATTTATATCCTAGGCAGTTCCAGAGAAGCTCTCTTTCACTTTGATCAGGATAACACAACTTGTAGCAGATTTCAATTGCTAAGCAATTACAACACTTGTTTTTGAATTAAGGACATTTTTGTATTTGACAATCTCCTTAGATTATTCTCCGTACTAACATGGTATAGTACTGGACATGCATTGATTATGGTGTCCCTAAATACTCCTTTAAACAAACCCATAGATAGGCTTGAGAGGACTCAGTTTTTATCATAAACAATCATCAGGAAACTAATGAAAAATATTTCCATTGATAACAGGAATTAGCAGTTGAACCGAAGAAAGAAAAAATGCTGATGAGAACTTATGAGTTTGCCTAAAGGATGTATACTTGATATAATTTTGACATGTGATGTTGACAATGTGTGTTTTAATGGTTATAAAGCTTTAAACTCTCTTAATCTTAGGGTATGTCTACACTACAGAGGTTTTTTTTGGAAAAACACCCATTTTTCTGAAAAAACTGGAGTTACATCCACACTGCAAATGCATTCTTTCGAAAAAAAATCGAAAGAACGGGGGGGGGGGGGGGGGGGGCGCGTAATCCTCATTCTACGAGGAAGAAGCCTTTTTCCAAAAGAGGTCTTTCGGAAAAAGGCATGTGTGGATGGGGAAGAGGGAGTTCTTTCAAAAGTAGAGGAAAGAAAAAAGCACAGGTGCCCTGGTGGCCACTCCGTCCATAGTAATCACAGCTTAAATGTGAGAAAGCATCCACACTGAATGGGTGCTATCTTTCAAAAAGCAGTTAGCTTTTTTGATGCGCTTTGGCAGTCTGGACGCTCTCTTTTGGAAGAAGTTTTTTTCAGAAGATCTCTTTTGGAAAAGCTTCTTCAGAAAGAAGCCTTCAGTCTAGACATAGCCTTAGTGACCACTGCCATTAACTAATTATCATATGACTCTCCTATTATCTAATCTCCCCCCTCTTAAATTTTCATAACTGTGAAAAATTTAAATTGATGAAAAATTATAATACTTAATTATAATTATAATACTAAAACATTGCATTGGCCATCAAAATTATAAAAAAAAAAAAGTTCTGCCAAGCCTACACAGATATTTTGAGAGATGTAAAATCTGGCACCTATTTCTTGATAATCTGGTCTCATTTCAGTTTTGATTCTGGCATTAAAAAAAAAGGACTGAAGTAACAGGTAGATCAGACACAACTACAGGTTGTGCCTCCATATACTGGGACTCTCTCTGCTCTGGTAACAACTGTGCTCCAGGCCAGAAAGCCTCAGTGGACAGGAGTCAGACAGCAGGAGGGCCAGCATCTGGGAGTCCTAGTGGGCTGGGAGCCTGGCGGGGTGGCAGTAGCCTGGCAGGAAAGCAGGGCCTGAGGCCACGGCCAGCGACAGGCAGACCACCTGGAGCCAGAAGTGGAGCTGGCAGTGGGCTGGGAGGCCAATGGCAGGGGACCTCCCCTGGTCCAGCAAATTCTCTTATTTGGGACTGGATTTAAAAGATTTTCATATAAAATAAGATTGCTCTTGCATTGTGGTTTTGTTTTCTTTTCTTTTTCATTTGTGGACCCCCTAAAAATTACACTTTAGTGATTTTAAAAGTTTAGGGATTCCTCTTGGGACATGTGGACCATAGGCTAAGAACTTCTGTTTTATAGTAATTACAATCTTTTGGAGACTCTGTAGACATAAACTGCAGACCACCAGGGGTGAGTGGACCACAGGTTGAAAAGCAAAGCTCTAGTATTAAAACCACTGACTTTCTGAAGTCCAGCCAAACTTCGGCTTTAAGCTCAGAGAAGTTAAACTGTGTTAGCTGTCTATGAGCATTCTAGTCTAGAACTTGCCCTAAGACACCCAAATTCCGTCCACACTGACTTCCTTGGGTGGCTGCTGTTATAGCTATTATCCCTCTCTAGTACATAGCCACAAAATAGTTCCATTGCAGGTGGAGGAAGAGAAGAGAAACAAAAATTAAACACATAAAACCAAGAGCCTAATTTCCTTTTAAGATGACCAAGAGAACACCATCCTTGCCTGCAGAGGTGAAAGTGGTGAAAAATGCTTTGGAAATGGAAAATAATTGAATACAAACCAACAACATTGGGTAACAGTACGGCAAGATCACACACCAAGTTAACAGAGCAGAGAGAATATCTAGTGAAACAGTTAATTCTTGATATATCTATTACCCATGCCATTATTGTGCTCCTAAAGAGAATAACTAAGTATTCTGTCTGGGAATTAAAATTCTCACGTCTTCTTCTGCAGTCTGCAAATGACTCCAAGTGTGACTTCAGGCAAGTGTGTTGGGTTAATACATCTATATAATGGCCGTAATACTATTTATGTCATGAAGTATTTCAGAGGCTTATCTAAACTGATCTAAATGGCTCTGAAATCCTCAGATGAAAAGACAATATTTAAATGCAAAGCGATAATTTTTGCAAATATATATTTTTTCTTCTTTTTGCGAAGCAATCTTAATTCCTTCCCCACTACTCACCTTAGTTAAGATGTCAATAACATTTTCAAAAATATTTTTATATCAAAACCACACACAATTATAACTTCTGAACTATGTACTATATAAGGCAGAACATAAATAAGACAATGGCTTATTCAGTAAGGTAGTCTCAAAGGAATTCAGTTTACAAGATTTCTCCTGCTGCAGCCCTTCATTTTCGACTGCAAAGCTGTGCCAGCCTCATCAGTCAACACTGGAAATGTTGGCATAACTTTTTCCCTGATGTTCTTCTCTTACTGTAAGCCATAATCCAAAAATTGCTTATTTATTCCTTATCCATGTCTTGTTTCTATATTGGTTTTGTGTAATTTCATTTCCTTGCTGCTCATATGGTAAATGTTACCTTTATCCTTCCCTAATTCTGTGAAGTGATAGTGCAGCAAGAATGGATCAAATATACTACAGGCAGTCCCCGAGTTACGCGGATCCGACTTATGTCAGATCCGCAGTTATGAACGGGGATTTTCTCGCTCCGGAGGACTGGAGCGGCGGGACGCCTGGTTCCGCCACCCGCCTCCTCCGGGGCGAGAAAAGCTGCTCCCCCCTTCCCCCGCAC